CCCCACCGCCTCCACCGCCTCCGCTGCCTCCACTGCCGCCGCCGCCTCCACCGCCTCCTCCACCGCCGCCTCCTCCGCCACCTCCGCTACCACCGCCACCGCCGTCGTGGCCTCCGCCTCCACTGCCGCCACCGAACCCCCCACCCCCACCTCCACCTCCACCGCTACCCCCACTCCCCCCACTGCCTCCACCTCCACCGCCCGCTCCTCCAGCTCCCTTGCCCCCCTTGCCCTTGCCAGAGCGGCGTCTCCCGCTAGGGGCAGACGCCGCACCGACCGACTCAAGACCAAGGAGGTCGGCCGAAGCAGCAGAGGCTACAGAGGGCAGCAGGGGGGAGGGAGAACACCCCTCAAAGATGGGGGTGCGCGGGTCACCTCGAGAGGCTCCTACAGCGACTATGCTCTTTTCTATCGCGAGGAGGGCCTTCTCGAGGAGGTCTACAGTGAGTGTGGTGGGACAGACTGAGAGAAAGTGGTCCCTGACTACCCGAAGGGAGTCAGGGAGGCGAGTGACTAGGAAGTACAGAGTGATATACATGGGGGGGGGGTTCGCGGTGCAGAAGTCAGCAGGAAGTGCAGCGCGGTAGCGAGTGTCACTAGTGCGGAGGTGCGTAATGAGGTCAGCAACGGTGGGAAAAGAAGCAAGGTCAGGGAAGAGGTACGGCAGCATGAGACGGCTCAGTGCAGCAGTGGAAGGGGAGGAGTAGCGCGCGACTACAGCGGCGTACAAGGTCTGAGCACTCTTGTACTGACTAAAGTGCGCACGCTCGGAGGTAGGGAGGTGGCGACGCACAGCAAGACGTGCAGCAGCATCGCGCGTGGCCCACTGGGAGCGAACAGTGGCGTCAGCATCAGCAGCAGGGGCAGGGGAAGCGCCAGAGGTGAGGTCAAAGAGAGAGAGGCCGTCCGCCCTATCGCACTGTAAGAACAGCTGTAGGTCATCTACCCAGACCTCAAAGTCAATGGCCCGACCCTCAGCGTCAAAAGTGAGGACACTAGGGGTGGCCATGACAGCAGTAGACCAGCAGTGCAAGCAGTAGGGGAAGAGCACGCAGTGACAGAGGGTCTGTGCTCACCGGACAGGGCTGCTTGGGCGGCTCGGCTGCAGGGCGGCTCGACAGCTGGGCGGCTGGGCGGCTCGGCGGCTAGGCGGCTCGGCGGCTGGGCGGTCGGCTGCACGGCGGCTCGGCTGGTGGGCGGCCAGGCGGCTCGGCTGCAGCGCGGCTCGGCGGCGGGGCGGCTCGGCTGCTCTGCTGCTGGGCGGCTCGGCTGCGCTGCTGCTGGGCGGCTCGGCCGCTGTAGAGGAGTGGCGGGGCCGCTGCAGAAAGGGCGGCGGGGCCGCTTGATAGGGCGGCGGGGCCGCTGCAGAGAAGTGGCGGGGCCGCTGCAGAAGGACGGCGGGGCCGCTGGGTAGGGCGGCGGGGCCGCTGCAGAGGAGCGGCGGGGCCGCTGCAGAAGGGCGGCGGGGCCGCTGGGTAGGGCGGCGGGGCCGCGAGATAGGGCAGCGGGGCCGCGTGGTAGAGTGGCGGGGCCACGCGATGGGGCGGCGGGGCCGCGAGGAAGGGCGGCGGGGCCGCTAGGTAGGGCGGCGGGGCCGCGCGATGGGGCGGCGGGGCCGCGAGGAAGGGCGGCGAGGCCGCTAGGTAGGGCGGCGGGGCCGCGCGATGGGGCGGCGGGGCCGCGATGGGGCGGCGGGATACAAGGGAACTAGGCAGGAAAACGGCTAAGGACTAAGGACTAGGACTAAGAGGCTGAAAAACGGCTAAGGACTAACCCCAAGCCATCTCTCTCTCTCTCTCTCGCTCTCTCTTGAACGAGCCGCCGATTTTGGAGGGTGAACTGAACTCACCAATGAAGAATGAGCTCAAAAGGGTGCATCTAAGGACTTTATACTAGGGAACTAGGCAGGAAAACGGCTAAGGACTAAGGACTAGGACTAAGAGGCTGAAAAACGGCTAAGGACTAACCCCAAGCCATCTCTCTCTCTTTCTCTCTCTCTCTCTCTCTCTCTCTCTCTCTCTCTCTCTCTCTCCCTCTCTCTCTCTCTCTCAAGCGGTCCTTCATTGATGTAATGGAAGGTACAGGAAGGGTGATAGCTAGTCCTGGTAAGCATGCAAGCGACCCTAGGATATGAGCATCCATCCGTCCTAAGCAAGCAAGCATGCATGGCCTTAGACTCATGGCCTTAGTCCTAGGCAGGCACCCAAGCCCCCTATCCACTTGTAGGGCCATCCACTCAGCCGCGGGCTACCCTTGCCGCCGCCGCCTCCTCGGCCTCTCTGGCCTTTACTCCTCCCAGCTCCAGTCCTGGGCATACCCATCCTCCAGGACCTGCCACAAGTCCCCCAGCTGTGGCTCCCACGGGTCAGTGGGGCCCTGTGGGAATGCTGCCTCCGCTGCCCTGTTCGACTTGGCGAGCAGGGCGTTGGCTTGGCAGCGCTGGAGGAGCACCGGCCAACGCTGTCGGTAGTGGGCCGTGAGCCTCGAGGCAACCGTGGTTGACCTCCCCTGTCTGTACTTTTTCTTGGCTCCTGACGTGCCTAGGAGCCTGAAGAACCGCTGTGTGTCTTTTGCCATTGCCCCGTACGTCTCTACCGCCATGCCGAAGCATCCCACCCACCCCGGCCTGCCCGTGTACATGCCATGTTTTGTCCTTGCCGCCTCCTCCGCAGCCCATTCCGGCGGCTTCACTGCGCGCTTGTCTCGTCGTTGTAGCACTGGGTCCGTCACAGTCACGTCCACCACCGAGGTCTCTCCCGATTCCTTGTCACGAACGATCAAGTCCGCCCGTTTTTGGTTGGTTAAGGGGCTGAAAATGGCCGATTCGTGCAAGGTGAGGAAGTCCGCTTCCCTTGCCATGCGGAGGGCTGAGTACACCAGCGCGTTGTGCGTTGTTGTGCGGTCTCCCCCTTCCGCGCACCTCAACAAGTGATTCGGGAGGCTTCTGTCCCCTATCTTTGCCCTCCTTCCCCGGCAAGGGCAGTTGTCCGTTACTGCCAGTGTGAGTCCAAGGCGGAGGCCGATTGCTAGCGCAAACTGCCCCGGGGAGAACGTAAGGTCCGCCCGCGTCGGAATGGCGTGCAGCCAGTCCCCCGCGCCTGCTCCTTGGAGGCTCAGTAGGCGAAGGAGATGGCCACTGTCCGCGCCCGGCTTGTCTTCCCGTGTGTCGCCTAGAAGTTCCGCCGCCCGCTCCGTATTGATGTGACGCGACAGTATGAGCTGCAGGTGCCCCTTCCCATCATCTCGCTCTAAGTACGCTTGTAGTGCCGCCCTAGCTGATGCTGGCAAGCGCGCCCACATGTCCCTTCTGATGTCTTCCCCATTGGTCCCCTGTTCCCCTGGCTGAGGTGATACGAGCCGTGCTGTGCTGATCATGGGGTTGCCTGGCGCCAGGGGGAGTTGCTGAAGGAGTGTGTGAGCCGCCGTCAGGGATGCAAGGTACGCTGCTGGGGCTTCGGAGAGCGGGTCGATCAGGCCGAGACCTCCCAGGGCTACCGGTAGTGTTGCTTGGCGCCACAGTAGGCTCTGCTCCATCTCGTCTGCCGGTAGGTGTAGGTGTGCCGCTCTTAAGACCGTATGGAGTAGCCGCTCGCTCCACTCGCGCCATTCCGTCCTTGAGATGAGGTCCGCTGGTGTCGTGCGGAGCAGGTACGACGCTCTCCTCGAAATGCAGCGGGAAAGCAGGAGCATGGCGTGTTGGGGGTGAAGACCACTGATTAGGTCTAGGGGCGCGGCGATCTTCTCCAACGCTCTCCGTACGAAGCTCCTCCCAAAGGCCGCCGATCCGATCGGGCTCCCTAGGACCTTGATGTCGTCCACTGCCGCCACGAGTCCCGCTGGTAAGTTGTCAAGCGCGCTCGCTGGGCTCCATGCCGAGGACTTCGCCAGGTTGCATTGCAGCCCCGCGGTGCGCAGTTCATTGGTGATCAGCAGCATCGCTCGTCCCGCCGACTCAGGGTCTCCTACCAGAGTGATATCGTCTGCATATGCCATCACCACCACCGATGGGAATTCATCCGCGGCTTTGAGTAGCGCCGTTTGTATAGCCGCCGCAAAAAGTGTCGGTCCCAGCGGGTCTCCCTGTCGCACTCCCCTCGTGCTCTCAATATGGTCTGAGGAGAACCCCTCATCTAGAAGCAGTCGGGAGGGGCTTTCATATAGCGTGCGCACGAAAGGGACCATTGGGTGGAGTCCCGACCATCTGAGCGACGTGAAGAAGCTCTGTCGCTCGACCGAGTTAAAGGCGTTCTCAATATCTAACTGCAGCGCGACCCGGTCGGGGTCATCCTGAAGTAGTGCTCGCGTCGAGTGAATAATACACTCCGCTCCTCCTGAGACCGAGACTCCGAACTGCACTGGTAAGAAGTATTTCCGGATCTGCGGCGTGAGCTCCCGTAGTGCGATCTTGGCCGTTAGTCGAAGCAGTGCTTCTCCTATAGCTATCGGCCGTACACCTCCATCAGGCTTCTCCAGGGCAATCAGGCGGGACGGCAGTAAGAGGTCGCGAATATTCTCTGGTTGCTCCTTGCCAAGCAGATTGTTGACGACTTCTAGCAGGAGTGTGAGCACTTCCCCATTTGCTAGCGCTGGTTCGCGGAGGTGTTCGAAACAGGTTCCGGAGGGGCCCGCGCCAATCCCATTCGGGCATTTCGCCAATACATCGCGTAACTTGTCGGCCGTCGTGGCGAGGGTTGACGCTTTGAACCCGGTTACCCAATCAGGTATGACAGTTGACGCCTTCGGGTGTTTTGCGCAGAGTGAGTCAAGTGTAGTTGCTGATGCTTCCGCGAGGGGGGAGGCCTGTAGTGCTGCAACTGCTTTGGCAAGGTTTGCTTTCTGTACCAGGCCCTCGGCTCTCGCTCGGAGTCCCTCGGGGTCTGGCTGGTGTCTGGACGGTTTGGGGTCATTTGGTACGGTTTTGGCCTCCGTGAACAGTAGCTCCCACTTTTCCAATCGGAACTGTTGCAGTCTGCCCTCTATATCCTGCCAGTGATTCGCACAGTTGGGGTCAATATCGGCGCGTAGTGTCAGCCGTGGCAGAAAGAGGAGTGCCCTCCATGCTCCTGGGCAGATGGGATTTTTCTTCAGTCGCTGGAGTGGGATGACGAGGCATGCCGCAAACGCATCGATCACTCCAGGTGGCATTCTCCTTGCCAGGAATGGTTGGTCACTGCTTCGCAGGCCGTCTACCTCCCATTCTGCCACCTGTCGCCAGATGTCCTCGTCCCTAGCTATCACTTCGGGTGAGCGCATGTCCCTCACCTCCGCGCCCGCAGGTTGCTCTATTGGGGCCCCGTTTGGTGCAGCCCTGTGCTGTTGCTCCTCTCCTGCCCTCCCATTTCCTCCCCTCCGTGATCTCCCATGTCGAGCGTTCCCTTGGTGGCTATCCACCCCAGGCTCGTCGTCTAGAGAGACCTCTTCCGATTCTCCTTCCTCCGATGCCATATAAGCCTCCTCCTCCTCATCGTTGTCAGCAGCAGCTGGCCTATCAGCGATCTCCTCCTCTGGCACCCCCTCCGGCCTTCCGTGCCTTTCCCGCCATGGTCCGGATCTGACCCGTTCCCGCGCGTTGACCGCCGCTCCCCGTTGCCCCCGTCCCCGCGCCCCTGCGCGCCCCCGGGCTCGGCCCCGTGCCCTTCCTCGCGTCCTTCCCGCCGCACTTGGCGGTCGCAGAACTTCCTCCTCCGCTGGCAACTCGCCCGCCTCACCCTCCTCCTCCGCTCTCGCCGATGACGGGTAAGGCCTCGAAGGCCCCTCGCCGTGAGGTCGTGGTTGGAAGGTCTGGCACTCCCACCCCCGAAGGGGGCCAGGGAGGCCAGGTGCCAGCCCTGCTCCGAGCCGCCGCGGACTTGGTTGAAGCCGAATCGAGCGGCGGATCGGGCCGTGGGCGGCGTCAATCCCCGGACTCCCGACGCCCCGTGTATCACCCGCCTCCCGGTCGAACGCCGTACTACCTCCGCCCGCGGGGTCAGCAGTTCCGTCATCCCCGGCGGCCCCGCCATCAGCCCTGGCGGCCAAGGCCCTTTCCTCCGCCACGGCAGGTTCCTTCGCCACCGCTTGTGCCGGCGGCGCCCCAGCCGTCGGTTCCTCCCCCACCGTCTCAGCCACCACCGGCGCTGGCCCTGCCTCCGCTTGGTTCACTTCAGATACAGCCGGCGCCTGTGCTTCCTCCCGCGCCTCCTCCTCCACACCCGCAGTCGGGATTGCCAGCGCCGCCCCAGCTCCATGTTGCATCGGCGGTTGTTGTTGCGCCGTCTGTCTCGGCCCCTCCCCCAGCTCCGACTCCGCCTCCGCCCGCTCCTCCCGTCCAGCCGCCTCAGCGCCAGCATCCTCTTGTTCCTCGTCCCCGTCCTGCCGCTGCCCGTTGGGGTGTGGTGAGTCTGGGACCTCCGTCACCAGCGGAGGTCCCCCCGTGTTTGGCGCTTTCCCTCCCGTTGGCTTTCCGTGTGTGTTCTGTCCCTGTCTGTTGTGATGCACTCGTTGCTCCTGGCTGACTCCTCGTTGGGACTCCTGTCCAGGTGTCGTCGCAGCCAAATGAGCGCCACCGCGGCTGGGACGAGTTTGAGACGCCCGGGACTGCACGAGATCCGCAGCTGGAGTGGTGGAACATGGGCTGGCCGAATTTTCCCCGCGAGCCCGGGTGGGGCCAAGGGTGGAATCAGACCCCGGGCGAGGCCGAGTATCTTGAGCGCGGGGAGCGCCTGTCTCAGGTCGGGTGCTTCGTGACGCGCCTTGCGACGGTGCTAGAGCAGTATCACCTCGCCGTGCACAGTCGGATGCTCGTCGCCCGTGACCCTCAGCTGGATGAAGTTCAGCAGGGGCTTGTCCAAGGGGCATTGTCAGAGGCGATGTGGGAGCTACTCCACTTGCCGCTGGAGCCGGAGGATGTTGAGCTTGATGATGGTCCTGGCGCCTTGGCCTTCCGTAGGGTAGCCATGGCGCCTGAAGAGTCGCCGCTGGATCTCGTCCCTGCGATCGCGTCTTTGCTCCAGTGGGTTGGGAGGCGTGTGAGGCTGATTTAGTGGCCCCTCCGGTTGTTGCCGCCGGTGATTGTCTCTTTCTCCCCATTATGGGGACTTACCTGTGCCGGTTTTCCTGTTGCCTAGTGGGCCATGTTGTACCCTTGTCTTAGTATGCACGTTGTTGTGTTCTGGTTCCAGCCTTGTGTCCTTGTCACACCTCACGCGCGGCCGAAGGCCGCGCCGGCGAGCGACGGCCGCCGAAGGCGGCCGGCGCGAGCCGCCGGTTTTTGGAGAGTGAACCCAACTCACCAGTGAATGATGAGCTCAAAGGACTGGATCCAGGTGCTTTATACTAAGGAAACTTGGCTAAAAACGGCTAAGGACTGGATCCTATGCTAGAGAGGCCTAGAAACGGCTAAGGACTGGAACTAGGCCATCTCTCTCTCTCTCTCTCTCTCTCTCTCTCTCTCTCTCTCTCTCTCTCTCTCTCTCTCTCTCTCTCTCTCTCTCTCGCTCTCTCTCGAGCGAGCCGCCGGTTTTTTTAGAGTGAACCCAACTCACCAGTGAATAATGAGCTCAAAGGACTGGATCCATGTGCTTTATACTAAGGAAACTTGGCTAAAAACGGCTAAGGACTGGATCCTATGCTAGAGAGGCCTAGAAACGGCTAAGGACTGGAACTAGGCCATCTCTCTCTCTCTCTCTCTCTCTCTCTCTCTCTCTCTCTCTCTCTCTCTCTCTCTCTCTCTCTCTCTCTCTCTCAAACGGTCCTTTGTATTGATAATAGGGGCTGGTACAGACATGCAGGTTCTAGGGCAAAATTCAACTGGCACGAGGACAAGCAAACAAGACCCAAGGAGCACCTAACCCAGCAAGCACATACCCCTACCCGCCCCCCCCCCCCCCCCCCCCGTCTCCCTAATGTGCCTCTAGTGTTGTGAAGCAGTCACCGGGGTTCATCACCCCCTCTAGTCCCCCTAGTGGGGGGTTCTCTGCTCGTGCTGCCAGGTTCAGCTTTGTGAGAAAGCTCATTGCCTGAGCTCTCTGGAGGGCAATAGACCAGCGCTGGCGGAACTGATGGAGCATCTTCGCGGCCTGGTAGGTAGATGGGTCCGATTGAAGATTTTCCGTGCAGCTTTGTCTGCCAGTAGCTTCAGGAAGGTGGGAACCTCGTCACAGGGGCAGCCGTAGGTTTCTACTGCCAAGGGGACAAACCCCGCATACTCTGCCCTATCATTTTGTCCGCTGCCTCCCGTGCTGCCCAGCCCCTCCCCTTCCTTGCAGTCTCGTCCCGCTTGCTGATGGGGTCAGTGATTGTGATATCCGCCAGCCATACCGCCCCCGAGCTCCCGTCCCTGAAGGCCAGGTCAGCCTTCTTGTTGTCCACCGGGCTGAAGGCAGTGCACTCTTTGTGCACAGCAAATCCTGCATCCTGCGCCATGCGGATGCACTCGTCACGTAGCTCGTCGTGGGTGTTGGTCCGGCCGTGCCCAGTACCACACCGGAGCAAGTGGTTCGGCAGCCTCTTGTCCAGAATGGGGACTCGTTTGCTGCAGTCACAGCAGTCAGGCACAGAGAGTGGCAGGCCGAGCCGGAACTGCAGTGCGAACGTGAAGTGGCAGGGGTATAACCGTAGGGCTGGCATGTAGGGGATTGCCATGAGCCAGTCCCCTGCCCCATAGCCTGTGAGGGACATGAGGCGTTGGGTGTGGCCTAGCAGAAGGTTCAGCTCCATCTGCCTGGATGCAGTGATCTGGGCGGCACTCCGGCCCCCTTGGACTAAGAGGGCGAGGCGGTGCTGTAGTTGGCCCTTAGGTTTCGCCCGCTCCGCCGAGATTAGGTCCCTCCCCTCCTGTGTGAGGCTGTCACAGCAGTCCTGGATCCACCTCTGTAGTTCGTTGGGGCTGTTGTCGGCCAAATCAGTGCTGTCCAGTGCTGCTGCTAGGGTGGTCCCTGCTTGCCCCCACAGTCCGCCGAGTAGCGTGTGGGCTTGCACGAAACTCGCCAGGAAACTGTATCGGCCCTCCACAGCAGGGTCAGCGAGGCCCAGGCCGCCTAGGCTCGGTGGGAGGGAGGCTTGGTCCCAGATTCGACTGTCCTCTGCGTCACCCCTCGGTTGGCGTACCCCGCAAGTGTCGAGAAGTGTGTACAGCAGCGCCCGTCCCCAGCTTGACCACTCCGCCTCGGGTAACAGGTACAGCGGGGTGGTGCGTGCTAAGTAGGAGATGCGCCTGGAGATGCATCGTGTTAGGAGCAGCGCCGCCACCTGGGGATCCATTGCTGCTAGGTGGGGTAGCGGGGATGACATTGTCTCCAGCTGGGACCGCAGGAAGGCCGCTGCACCATCCGACGAGCCGATGAAGCTTCCCAGCAGTCTCAATCCCTCCGGGCGCAGCGGGACGCCCTCGGGCAGCTGCTGGGGGTCTGTAACTGCAGCGCTCCATGCGACGCACTTCCCTGGGTTGTGGGTCAGTCCCACGTTGCGTAGTCCTGCCGTGAAGTGGCGGAAGGCATCAGAACATTCGGGAGCCGGGCCCAGGAATGTGATGTCGTCCGCGAAAGCTAGGCACAATACAGACGGGTAGGCCGCCGCTGTCTTGGTGAGTATGGGGTGTATTCCAGCCGCGAATAGCAGTGGGCCGAGCGGATCGCCTTGTCGTACGCCTGTCTCGCTGGTCAGTGCCTCGCAACCGAACCCCGCGTCGAGGAACGGCTGGGCTGGCCTACTGTAGGATGCCTTGACCAGGGGGATCAGGCTCTCGAGTTTGGTGTCGTGAAGCGCGGTGACAACGGCTGCGCGGCTAATGGAGTTAAAGGCGTTCGCCAGGTCCGCCTGCAGAATAAGCGCGTCGGGGTTTGCGCTGGTGAATGCTCTGGAGGCGTGGATAATTGCCTCGCTGCCGCCTTGGACGGATACGCAGTATTGTAACGGGAGGAAATGCGCGCGGCACTCTTGGGAGAGGGCTGAGAGGGCGGACTTAGTGGCTAGACGGAGGATACACTCTCCCACTGCTATCGGTCGAGTGCCACCGTCTGGCTTGGCTAGTGCTATGAGCCGGCTAGCTGTTAGTAGCGCGCAGATCTCGTCAGGCAGTTTGCCGTCTCTCTCTCTCTCTCTCTCTCTCTCTCTCTCTCTCTCTCTCTCTCTCTCTCTCTCTCTCTCTCTCTATCCCTGTTTGATGTGCTCCTCCTGCTCCTCCTCACACACTCTTTCTCCCCTCCTTGTGCGTTTCTCCTCCTCAATCGGGCCTGCCGCGCGCTTATTGTGTGCCTGCCGCGCAACTCCCATGCATCTTCCGCGGTTCAGTCGCTGCACATCTTCCGCCTCTCTATTCTCAAGGAGCATTTGGGCGGTGTACCTCTTCAGGGGTTTGTCTTGCACCAGTTCTTGTTGCATGCAGTTTAGGGGGTGTGTAGAAATATATGTTCACATAAATAAACTGCATGTAGCATCGACTGTAGTGTAGCCAACCGTTGGTGGTGCACCCCTTGCCTAAACCCCCGCCTGTACTTCTTCGGCTCTTGCCCATTCTAATCCACGTCTTTCTTCTCTCTGAACTCTTAAGCTTGCAACCTCTCCTCCTGCCCTATCTTGAATGCTTAAAGCTCAAGGCCCAAATTGTTCAACCTTACTAAGGTTGACGTTGGGTGGCGGGCGAACTGAACAAAGAGGTCAAGTTGTTGTGAGGCTGGGCTGCTTAGTTTCGCCCAGCTTCTTGCAACACGCTCTGAGATTTCGCTGACTTAGCAAAACCCTGGGGCAACCCCGTGTTTTGTTGGAAAGTCCCATATTGCATAGCGATATGAACCTTGTTTTCTCCCGCTACTCACATACGACAATCAAGGTTCCCTTGCTCTGGCCAATCACTACCCTTGCTCTGGCCAATCACTACACTTTCTCTGGCCAATCAAGGTTCCCTTAGCCACATTTATTGGCGAGAGTCTCGGCTTACTTGGCGAAGAGGTGAATGCTCTTAGCAGGCTGGGAGATAGTGCGGACAAAAATTGGATCACGAAATGGAAATGGTAATGTAGAGCTTCTCCTTGATGTTCTGTTCGAAGCGATCTTGCAGTTCAATGCGCGTTCATGCGTAGAGAAGGTCATCGACATATGCGACGAGGGAATGTAGTCGAATCGGTGCTCGAGCCAGTACATGGCTTGGTTGTGGGGAAGTTGCTAGAAGCTGAACGATATGAGTACGGCGTGTAGATATTGCTGCCAGAGACGCGGTGCATTTATTATGCTTTGGAGTGAAATATGGAGCAGACAGACCTGTGAAGCGTCATATTCGAATGCATGCGGATGCTCGACGTAGATGATGGCGTCGACGATGGCGTAGAGAAAGGAATTCCTCACATCGATTTGGCGCATGCCGACATGTTTGGCGGTAGTGGTGTAGACGGGCAGGAATGGAGGTCTGACGACTGACTGTGCGAACGTCTGAACGTAGTCGATGCCATGCGTTTGCTCAAATCCGCGGACCACCCGGTCCCCATGCATTATGACGAGCATAGGCATGGACATGGGAATGCCCGAGGAGTTGTCTTGAGTTGTGCGCGTGCAACCTTCCGTGCGTTGGTACGGTATTTCCTTGTTGCCTCTGCGATCATTATCATGAATAGGAATGTCTTACTTCAACCAATGGAAAGCTCACAATTGACAGGTATTACGTAAAGACGCATTGCAAAGCATTTGGACCATAATGCAAGGGAATCGTTTCAAAACCTCCATGTGTCAACAAGGCTGCCAACCTGTTTCATGTTTGCTCGTTTCAATTGCACGCTTGAGAAGGGAAGACCTCGATGATCCACCCAACATGTTCATGTTTGATGGTTTAATGGGTTTAAGGCTTATTGTTAGCACAACGCAATCTAGCCTACACGAACACATGCAATGCAAATATACCGTATGTATGTGTACATTGACACTTATATCCCTAACGTGGCTGCTGCCGCCTCCCCAAGTCACTACTCGGATAGCTGCCTCCCCACGTCACCCTGTTACCCCCATCATCCTCCTCTCTGCCCCTCTGTTTCACCGAGCCCTAAACGCATTACAAGGTCTCTTCATTTGCACTCTTTCCAGGGTTTAGGGCATATGCTGTGAGCCCGTGGCTTTTGACGCATAGTGCGAGGAGGCCCCACATCAGCACATTGCCTTGCATCCTAGTGCTTGCTCGTTCCAATGGCCCATTTGAGATTGGAACATAAGCAAAACATAGTCCGAAACAACCACACGCAAACATGAACCATACAATATGTTGTACCGACCCAATACACTCGTGATTTCTAAATACTTATTTTCTGAATCACCAACACCTTTACACGAATCTAGGAGCACAGCAGCCATGCCAGTGCCATCCCTTGAGAGCGCAGCAGCCATGCCAGTGCCATCCCTTGAGAGCGCAGCAGCCATGCCAGTGCCATCCCTTGAGAGCGCAGCAGCCATGCCAGTGCCATCCCTTGAAATTGATCACTTCAGACTGCATTCAAGTTTACGTCTCTATACCACAGCAGCATAGCAGCAAGTGTCAGTCCACCCACCATCCACCACCCACCTTCAACCATCCCTCAATCCCAAACACCCTGCCAAGCAGGGTGAAAAAAGGTACCATCACAACCACACCCCCCCACAGCCCTCCAACCCCATTGCTGCTCTCTGCATGCGTTATGCTGCGGCCCATGCCTTCACAGCCAGGATTCCCATCTCTGTATTTCCTTCTCCATATGCTCATATTTTTACTGTCATTTATTTTCTCATTTTCTTCTTTTTTTTTTCTTTTTTTTTTTCAGCAGATTAAGAGTTGGCGAGGAAAGGGTTAGCGGCGCCAGGGACGTCGCGAGGTTGCTGTCAAAACAAACCTGGGCGCTCTTGAGGGCCGAATTCTTGCAGCTGCACGACTCACGCCATGCGCGCTCTCGCTCACGTGCGACACGTTGCTGCCGCTGCTCTGCACGTGCCTCTCCCCGGCACCACCTCCACCTGCGGCGGCGGGTCGTAGGATCAGCGTCGGCCCCCACCCACCTCTCCTGCTCGTTCCCTTGCCGCTCGCTTTTGGGATGCGCGACGGCAGAAGCGGTGCAGCGGCGGCTGACGATTTCCGCCTCCGGCGGATGTGACCACGGCGGATCCGAAACCGACAATATTGCATCTGACGCCGTCAAACCGGCCGTTGTTGCACCTGACGCTGTCAAATTGGCCGTGAATGTATCTGACGCCGTCAAATCAGTCGTAACTGCATCTGACGCCGTCAAATTGGTCGTAATTGTATCTGACGAGGTTCTTATCGCATCTGAAGCAGTCAAATCAGTCGTCACTGCACCTGACGCGGTCAAATTGGTCGTTATTGTATCTGACGAGGTCCTTATCGCATCTGAAGCGATCAAATCAGTCGTAATTGCACCTGACGCCGTCGAAGGAGTAGAAACTGGCAGATCTGGCACCATCGGCTCTGTAGTCGTCGAGGTAGTTGGTGGCGAATCTGACGCTTTCGAGACTGACGGCATCGGAGCGTGGGCTGTTCGATGTGACTTCGCATGTGCCTCGCTGTTGAGACTCCTCCAGAAGCTGAGCGCTTCGGAGAAAGTCGGGCGGACAGTGGATCTGGCCATGCAGGGAGATGAGCTGCGAAACTGGTGAGGCTGGAATGCTCGAGTGGAATGGGAACGAGGACGATTGTTTGCAGAGGAGATTGGGAAAGGATCAAATTGGGGCCGAAGAGTGCCAGAGGAATGAGCGAAGTAGGGCCAGAAAATCTCGACCGTAGGATTTCAACCCCGAGCTGCTCAAGAGGCTAGGCGAACAAGCCGAACCGTGACTGAAAGAGAAATGCTATCAGCACCAAACTTCGTGTCCAACTTATTTTAAAAAGGGTTACGACCGCCGTCTACTACTACGCGCGCATCGCGTTCTTCTGGAAGTAAATTTTGCTGTGTTAATTTGTGAGTCCAGAATAATATATTTTATTATGGGTTAACATATCACTACCCGATCGGAAACGCGCAGAACAAACAATATTACCAATTTGGAAACGGATGCGACTAGGGAGGCATCAACCCTAAACACAACGAAGGTTCCCGTTTTTAGGGTTGATCCATCCCGAAAATGCATCCAGGTTCCCCAGGGGTTTTTTTTTGTTTTTTTTGGCTGCCCTAAGAATTTCCGGCTTGCTAGACGACGCTATTGGGTGGAAGGTGATGAATCAGTAACTATTTCCATGAAAAATGACGCGCGAGCCAAAATGCGAATGTTTAACGGACATACGTTCAATAAATGATAACCCTCTGCAAATACCTTTTTGCGCAGTGGTTTTGTTAGTTCCGGGCCTCACGGCCCCTGTTTGATCACCTCTCGGGCAAAGTTCGGCCCCTGTATGATCTTTTCCCGAGGAGATTTGAAGGCAGAGGTGGGAAGGAAGGCAGAGAGTGGTAGGGAGGAGCCTCGGGTTTGGCGGGGAGGGAGGCTGCTTGGTCGAAGGCGGTTTGCCAACTGATTTATGCTCCGAGGCAGAACCAGGAATCTCGGTTTTCGCCAAAGCGAGGCTTTCGGGAGACTCGCGAAGCAGTCGGTCAGGCTCTGCGGGGAGTTCTAACCGTACCATTTGCCAGTGAGGTTTCCTCCGAGGCAACCCCACGGATATCGGAGCTTGCCATGGCGACGCTCATGGCAAGTTTCTGAAGCTGTTGATCCGGTTCGACAGAGTTTACCAAACGTACATTTGGTTGCCCAAAGTTCGTTCGCTGCTACGGTGGAATTTGTTGCTGCCGCTGATTTCGCCAGGGCGCCGCTTCGCAGCCCAACCTGTAGATCCGGGAAACTCGAGGCTAATGATTGAGGGCGAACGTTACAAAGTCGCAATTTATGTCTTAGTTATATGTATGTCTTTGTTGAATTTACATCCCTCCCCCCAAAAAAAAAAAAACATGTTACGATATGGAATAGTTGAATAAACATTCCTAAAGTAACGAATCCTTAAAACTCGCGTCTCATATTTCCTGGCTCCAACCATGTGTTAAACGCTTGGAATCCGGTAACAGTCTGTTTTGTCGCACAACACCCCCTAAGCAAGGGTTGGGTTTCTGAAGTTTGGTTGGGAGTGGGTAGGCCCCGCAAACCAAATGTACAGTACAAACAACGTGGGGTGATCCAGGGTATGGTTACGCCAAACCAAGTTGGGAGACACACATGCGCGACGAAACCACAGGGTGCGACATCAGAGTGTCGCACTCTCCCGCGTGCACACCAAGCATTTTAGAGGGGTATGATATATGAGACGTATAACTCCTATTCTCACAAGGAGCGTAGTTCCAGCACCAGATCAAGTGTTTTACGCTCGCCGAGCAAATGTCTTGGAGAACACTAACCTCAGCAAAGTCCTCATAGTACAACCACCAAGACCCTCATATACTCCTTAGACAACCATTTACCTCGAAACGCCTTCCCTATCACTACGTCTTCTTTCTGCACCGTTATTTCTCAGCCCGCGCACGTCACAATCTAGAACGCCAGCTAGGTTGATCCTTGTTCTCAACTGCCGTCGCGGAGCTGCCAGTATCCGCCTTGCCTCGCACGCATCCACTGCATTTAGTAGGTGAGCTCGACAGTTTAGGGTTATAATTTATTTCGAAATCAAAAATGACGAAATCTCAGAAGATGGCGGAACGATAGACGGGTTGGGGATATCTTGCAGAATTAGTGGCCTAATGGCGTTAGAGCGCGAAATTAGTGGCGGAATGTCAGGTAGATGGCGGGAATAGTGGCGGAATGCCTGTCGTTGGCGGAAAGAGAGTCGAACTGGTGGACGGAATGACACGCGGAATGGTGGTAGTTGTCGGAATGAGAGGCGAAATGGTGGTAGATGGCGCATTGAGTGGCGAAATGATGAAATATGGCGGAATGAAAGAAGAAATGGTGGAAGATGGCGCAATGAGGGTGGAAATGATGAAAAATGGCGGATTGATAGACTACCGCAGTGGTGGCAGGCGGCATCATGAGAGGCGGGATGGTGGTAAATGACGGAATGAGAGGCGACGTGGAGGTAGATGGCGCCATGAGAGGCGAAATGATGGTAAATGGCGTAATGAAAGCCGAAATGGTTGTAAATGTTTACCAATGATATGCGAAATGGTTGTAACGAATCCCAAGAGAGACGAAATGGTGGTAAATGGCACAATGAGAGGGAAGGGGGAAGGGATGTCAGGTCAGACGGGGGAATGAAGGTGAGAGGAGGTGTGATGGGAGGGGGGAGGGAGGAGAGGTCAGAGGTGGAAGGGATGTGTTGTGATTAGGGCTACGGAAGTGATGTGAGAGAGGGGAAAGAGGTGCTTAGGGAGGGGGAAGGGAGGAGAGGACAGACGGTGAAGGTAGGTGAGGGGAGGGGGAAGGGAACGTGAGTTCGGATGAGGAAGAGAGGTTCTGGGATAGGGCTCAGGGAGGGAGGTGCTGGCGGGGGGGAAATATATGATGTGAGAGGGGGAAAGGAGGTGCTGTGAGAAGGGGGAGGGAGGTGCTGTGAGAAGGGGGAAGGGAGGTGCTGTGAGAGGGGGAAGGGAGGTGTTGTGAGAGGGGGAAGGGAGGGAGGATAGAGGGGGGGAGAAGGTGCGCTGAGAGGGGGAAGGAGGGGTGGACAGAGGGGGGGAAAAGGTGCGCTGAGAGGGGGAAGGAGGAGAGGACAGAGGGGAGGAGAAGGTGCACTGAGAGGGGGAAGGAGGAGAGGACAGAGGGGGGGAGAAGGTGGGCTGAGAGGGTGAAGGAGGAGAGGATAGAGGGGGGGAGAAGGTGCACAAAGAGGGGGAAGGAGGAGAGGACAGAGGGGGGGAGAAGGTGCACTGAGAGGGGGAAGGAGGAGAGGACAGAGGGGGGGAGAAGGTGGGCTGAGAGGGTGAAGGAGGAGAGGACAGAGGGTGGGAGAAGGTGCGCTGAGTGGGGGAAGGAGGAGAGGACAGAGGGGGAAAGAAGGTGAGCTGAGAGGGTGGAGGAGAGGACAGAGGGGGGGAGAAGGTGCGCTGAGAGGGTGAAGGTGGAAAGGACAGAGGGGGGGAGAAGGTGCGGTGAGAGGTGCGAAGGGGGGAAGGGAGGTGCATTCCTTAGCGAGAAAGGAGGTGCTTTTAGAGGGGGAAGGGAGGTGCTGTGAGAGGGGGAAGGGAGTTGCTGTGAGAGTAGGGTTCGGACCTGCTGTGTGAGGGGGAAGGGAGGTGCTTTGAGAGGGGGAAGGGATGTGCTTATTGACGGGGAAAGGAGGTGCTTTTAGAGGGGGAAATATGGTGCAGTGAGAGGGGGAAGGGAGGTGCTTTTAGAGGGGGAAGGGAGGTGCTTTTAGAGGGGGAAGGGAGGTGCTGAGATAGTGGGAAGGGAGGTGCGTTTAGAGGGGGAAAGGAGGTGCAGTGGGAGGGGGGAAAGGAAGTTGCTGTGAGAGTAGGGTTCGGACCTGCTGTGTGAGGGGGAAGGGAGGTGCTGTGAGAGGGGGAAGGGATGTGCTTACTGAGGGGGATGGGAGGTGCTGTGAGAGGGCGAAGGGAGGTGCGTTTAGAGGGGGAAAGGAGGTGCAGTAAGAGGGGGGAAGGGAGTTGCTGTGAGAGGGGAAAGGTGGTGCTGTGAGAGGGGAAAGGTGGTGCTGTGAGAGGGGGAAGGGCGGTGCTGAGAGAGGGGGATGGGGAGACAGGAAGGATGGGGAGCATTCTTGCGTAGGGTTCAGACCTGCTGAGAGGGGGAAGGAGGAGAGGACAGAAGGGGGGGGGGAAGGTGCGCTGAGAGGGGTAGATAGGTGCTTGAGGAGGGAGAAGGGATCCGTGGGAACACTTTATACGCACGAGTACAAAGGGGGAAAATGATAGTAGTATGTCTAAGACATGAAAGTACAACCATCGGAGGAGCATAGAACCCATAAGTACTAAACTAAAATAGTACCCTGGCCGGGCCGGGTGGAAATGAACCCTTGGAAGGGTGAGGAGGTGCTGTGAGAGGGGGAAGGGAGGCGGGAGAGGGTGAAGGGAGGCGGGAAGGGTTGTGCTTAGTGAGGGTTAGTGGAGATGCTGGCAGGGGGAAAGAGGTGATGTGTAAGGGTAACAGAGGTGCTTATGGAGGGGGGTCTGGGGTGAGATCAGAGGGTTTAGGGTGGTGCGGTGAGAGGGGGAAGGGAGGTGAGGTGAGCGGGTTTAGGGTGGTGCTGTGAGTAGGGGAAGGGAGGTGATGGGGGATGGTGAAGATAGTGCCTTAGGGAGTGGGAAGGGTTGTGCCGGGAGAGGTGGAAGAGAGGTGAGGGAAGGGTGAAGGGTGGTAAGGTTGGAGGGGGGATCGTAGGTGCGATGAGACGGGGTAGGATGGTGCTGTGAGAGGCGTAAATAAAACATGGCAGGTGCGGAGAGAGGGGGAAGGGAGGTTTTCTGAGAGAGGGGGAAGGGAGGTTTGCTGAGAGAGGGGGAAGGAAGGTTTGCTGAGAGAGGGGGAAGGGAGATTTGCTGAGAGAGGGGAAAGGTATGTTTAGTTGGAGAGGGGGAAGGTACGTTTAGTTGGAGAGCGGAATTGTGAGGACAGAGGGGGAAGGGAGGTGCTGAGAGGACAGAAAGGAGGTGCTGGCCTGGAGGAAAAGTGCGGTGTCGGAGGGGGGAAGGGCTTGCTGGGGCAATGCAACGATGTGAGATGGGGAAGAGAGGTGCTTAGAGAGGGGAAGCGAGGTAATGTCATAGTGGGAAGGGTGGTGAGGACAGAGGGGGAAGGGAGGTGCTGTGAGAGGGGGAAGGTTGAGAGGACAGAGGGGGGAGGAAAGGGAAGTGAGAGGGGAAATGGAGGTGCTGAGATGAGGGTAGGGGGAGAGGAGGTGATGTCAGAGGGGGGACGGAAGGTGCTGTGAGACGCTGTAAGGAGGGGCTGACAGAGGGGGAAGGGATGCGGTGTGGGAGGTGCTGGCAGGGGGGAAGGCAAGGATGTGAGAGGGGGGAGGGTGGTGCATAGGGAGGGGGAAGGGAGCGTAGGCCAGAGATTGTGAAGAGAAGGTGCGATGAGGGGGGTTTAGTGAGGTAAAAAGTAGAAGATATGTATAGTCAGAGGTGAGATTTGGGGTGGTGACTAGGTACATCTAAAGGCGGTGACATGTCTCGCGAGGGATGGCATAGCCTAACGCGCGTGCCCTTTCTTTGTGCCTCTGCAACCCGTCACCATCCCAGCAGGCCATACACCACAACGTCAATCCTCTTGTGGACTGTCGACTAACGGACATTTGCGCAGCGTGTTGCAATGGCACCTCGGTGAGTGGTACGTTTTGTTTGAGGCTGCGTGTCGCACAACAACCAAATACTAGCATATGAAATTGACATGTGATCGTAACGACGTGCTGCACGTCCTCATAATTTCGGCCTCAGATGTTGTCGTGAAGCTTATAAATGCAGCAACTGATACTTGTAAGTGTCTTGTTGTTACAATTGTGCACCAACCAGCTAACACATGCAAACTACCAACTAACATGCCCAAACCACTATGTTTATGGTAGGTGGGAATGGCGCCACTGTGAAAGAACAGACAAAGTTACAATTGGAAGCACTGCGAGCAAGCTTCCTCATGAGCCAACCGGGGGAAAAGGATGACGAGGCGCAACTGCTCCAGAGAAAGCCGCTGTCAATGGGCGGCTTCGTTTATGAGTTCGATACATACCATGGAGGTGACCGTCGCGGACCGGCATATCAAGCACTACATGATGCGGGTATGTCAATGTCAGGGTGTGTTTTACACACCACTAGGTGAAGTGTCGAACTGGCATGTTGTCGCGCGCGGAGTTTTGTTCAAGTTGTCGCACGTCTCCCTGCACCCATTTGCCCTGGTTGAAAGACATGCGACTGGTCTTATCCATTCTATGGGGCTCACATCACGCAATCCACCATGTTTGTAAAGGATTCACCTATAACCAATTATCCTTGTGTGCCCATATACCCATATGCCACATATGGACATCAAACAGCAGCTGCAAGATGAGAGCATGATGTGAGTGGGAACGGAGGATCAACCGTCATGGATTCGCCACCCGTGGGATGTGAGACTGTTGTGGAGGCGTTTGAGGCGGTGGACAATGTGGGGCATGTGGAAGAGGAGAGATGAGTTGGGAGAGGGGGATGGCCCTATTCTTGATGGATAAGACGAGGGGGATGTAGCTGGAAGGGCATCCGAGCCCGAGCGCCCGAGCGCTGGGGAAACTGCCTCTACTGCTGCAATCCGGCCCCGTCTTGATGGGTAAGTGCTCTGTTGTAGATTCGTTGAGTGTGTGGCATCGTTCAAAAGCTTCCCTAGCTTGTTTTGGTATAATGCTCTCAACTTCATCCATTCAATAAACACGTCGCTAATCTATACATGATCCGTTCAAAAGCTGCCCTAGCTTGTTGAGTGTGTGGCCTCGTTCAGAAACTTTCACTAATATGTTTTGGCATTTACAAGTCAACCCCACCACAGCTTAACATCGGGACGTGCTGGAGCACCTCTCCGAAGGGGTCTCGCTCGATCCTGACCCCTGTCGGCCAACGCTGCCGCAACTAGCCTCAAAGGGGCGGTATGTATGTTAGACCCCATTGTATTGCTACAGTTCTTCATGAGTCGAGCGGTCTCCTGTCAGGCGACCGCGTGTAAGGGCTCGTTGGTCGTGCGATCGTGCAAGATGATGTGGGCGACGTTGGGGGTCTTGTGGGTCTGTGATACGTGTGGCAAGGCTATACAGTTTTGGTCTACTGAAAGGGGCAAAGTCACCAGGGGTTTAGGCAAACACGGCCCAAAGACCTCCTTTCTATTTCCGCGGTGGTTGGGGGCATTTGTTATGGCGGGAATAGGCTTCCAGCAGCTGTCGGAGATTAGTCGGACACTTGGGTTTAAGTCTATGGGGAAAGAGACATTCTATCGTTACATGCGACGACCGTACGGTTTGTGGGAGGCTATCATCGTCCATGGAGAAGAGAGCATGGCTAGAGCCCGACAGGAAATGCAGCTGCGCAAAGAAAGTGATGGTACATTTGCGTGAATGGGCGTTGGTCACAGGCAAGGGAGGCGCAGTGGTGCACTGTCACTTTCATGGATCCACGGTCACGGAAGATGTTGTTGACTGTCACCGTATGTAAAAAAGAGGAGGGAAAGTCATCGACTGAGTTAGAAGGGGTTGCATTCAAGCTTGGGTTGGAGAAATTGAAAGAGTGGGGTTCAATGTGACCGGGATCATAAGTGACGATGGAGGGTCATTCAAGAGGGCTTTAGTTGGTACAGGTATCAACCATCAGATGGACGTTTGGCACAATGGTCGAGCATTGGCACGACTGTTTGTGAAGGCTTTTGTGGAGGCACAAGTGGGTACTATGACAGTGGATAAGGCCAATAACGGGAACAGGCTGCAGAGGGATGCGGAGACCCTGGCGCTGTAGTTCGGGAATCAGCGTGCCCTCGGCATGGGAGCACAGATCGGCACGCATCTGGTGGCGGTATCTCTCCGCGCTCACTCCCCGGAACGATATGTACTCGCGAACGGTTACGAAACCAGAAGTCACCAGTGCTTCGAGATACTGGCAAGTGTACACACCGAAGTCCCAGCTGTTAGGTTGTTTGGGTATCTGGTGACCCTGCGCAACAACGGGGCATAAAGGTCGACCGCATAAAAATACGCTCTCGTCATGACAACAGTCCGCGTTACGTGATGGACAACGTGTTACGAGCAACATGGTTACCTGCATGGTTATCGTTTTGGCGTCGATGAGCGCCTGCCTAGCCATCTTTGGGTCCACCTCCGGATGATCTCGCTGGCACATGAGGTGCAATAAGCTGCACGATAGACAGCCACCCAGTCATATGCGCCCACATAAGTGAAATGTACACGAGTTGTCGGGCACATTAAAATGAATCTCACGCTTTGGTGCCGTCGAACGCCTCCGTCGTTTTGGCGTGGAGGCCGTCGCTGTCGAAAAGGATGAGCTCCACAGGCGCCGCCGTCGGGGCTACAATCCCGCTCGGGTTGGTGACCACCATCAACGAATAGTGCTCACTGCACGACAAACGATTAGCTGTTAGCCTGGAGCGAAGATCATGCGATATTAAATGATGACGAATCCACATACATACCTGGCAAAGACTGGGACGGCGATGTAATCGTACTCGAATACCGAGGGGCCCGTGCATCTCCCGATCGGCTTCTTGTGCATCTTGGCATACGCATACGCCTTGCTGTCAAGGAGCACCCATGATTTCCCGTTCGGGCATCTCGGGTACCTGATGTTCAAGAGGCTGCACGGGGGCGGGGGACAAAGTACGATGAACGAACAACGTAGTGGGCAACTCAGCGGTGTGGCACATGCGTGCGATTACTGGGGTGCATAAGAATAGCGCTTACATGTTATGAAAATCCATGACGGCATCCCCGAGATATTTCTTGTCGGCGAGCGAGACGGCATCGTGCGCCGTCACCTGACAGCCAACGCCCATGTGATTATACAGCGACACCGTCTTGAACGTCGGTGACCCTGGTGCGGTCAACAGAACTGTCAGCGCGTCGTTCGGCGCAGGCTCCTCCTCATCGCCTACCAGCCGCGAGCCCCATGCGGAAACCGTCGCCGCATCTGCCTTCTCCTTGATTGATTTTTCGTGAGTGAGTTCGCGAGAGCGCAGCCGCTTGTTGCCAAGTGACTCTGGGATCGTGGTGTTATCCCCCCGCGCTCCAGCCGGTTGCCTACGCGTTGCCATGGCCTCAGTTTTACGGGGACCACGTATCGCGGCCTGTGCTTTGGTCCTGGGTACCATGGTGTCTAAGAGATGGCTAGAGAGGCCGAAACCCTAAGCTGAAAAAAACGTAGCACGTAGGCATTCGCCCGACAGAACCAGTTATAGGCAGAAGTAGGCGGAATCGGTAACAATTTCTGGATCCGCTGAGTTGATGTTGACTTACATCCTTCGCGCGATTCTAGAATGTGGATACCACCATGGCGGCTCGTGATTGGCAGTGGGTCGTGGGCGAAAGGGACACTTGTCAATCGCGTGTAACTTACCGAGGAATTTGTCCCCTCGTCACCATGCACCGTTGCGACACGACAAGTGTTGTGTTACACAAATGTGTAGCTAAATTTCGGACGACATATGTAGAACGATAAACTGAAACATTGCATCATCGCCTATGCGATTCTGCCGAACACACTCATAATGGGGACGGCTTTTGTCCGCGATTGATACACGACGCGGACAAATGACTATCCCGTACTTCATAACAAGGGCATACCCTTTATAATACCCCCCCACGAAATTGTGATCGTCAATACCCGAATAACAAGCAACACAACCATGTGCCTAAATATGTGGATACTCATTACATCCGTACCATAGCACTACAGGGTACAGAGAACATACTAACACATATGCCTGCTGGGCACAAACATGTGGTCACAACTGTGAACGACTCCAATCGCCTATGAGATGTACACACGTCAGTGCGCAATCCATGGCTCGTGTGGCCAGGGATGGTCAATAGGCGTTGGGCAGGGCGAATACACGCGGTGCCCTGGTGCCCCTAAAACGGACGCATTGGTCGGGTTCTGTCAAGTAGCCGCGACCACTGCCCCTGCATCCGGCGAACCAACCGGATATAACAGCTGCAGCTCGGGGTTATTGGACGCTATTTTATTTCCATGGCTGCTCTAAAGGATTTCCTGTCGCGCCTGGGCGCTCCTCCCAGCGACGTCTACTGCTTTGTTGAGTTCACACTCCTCCCAGGACTGCAGCCATACGTGCACCCATTCGGCGGGCGCGATGGGAATGAACTGAAGAGGCTAACCATCGGCCTTCTCTATTCCGCCGACGGGGCCCAACGCTTCAGGCCCATTGTAGTGAGCCGGGATCGGGAGCCGATACGGCTGGGCTCTGATGTGAACGGAGACGAGTGGGCGTATATCCGCCGTACACGCTCCGGTCGCATAACACCCGAGGTAAGGGCCATCTGATGGTTAACTGCCTGTGTCACTTGTATATGAACTCTTGTAAATGTGCATTCTAAATGTCTACGCGCTATTTGCTGTTGTCCGTCGCAGCTCTTCACAAACTTCATGCTAGGCCTCAACGCAGCGAAGTTCGCCGAAGACCGCCGCATCGTCGTCATCGTGTCATCACGTCGGCACAAGCTCACTTGGGGAGAGGGCAAGGGGGAAGCGAATGGGACCTTCAGCGTGCACCACCTAACCCATACTCGCATCGTGCAGCTCCATGAGACCGTCCCGGACATGGCGAACCCAGTGTTGCAGGGCATTGTTGCGTTCTTCATGTCTGAATTCCGCACGATGTGGGTGGACTTCCAGACGCGGGGCATGACGCGCGTGCCTCCAGCTTACACGTGGAGCAGTCAATCACCTTCAGCCGCGAACACATTGCAGTGGACGTACGAGGCGCTCTGGGGGGTGGCGACATCCCACATTCAGCTCACCTTTTGGCGCACCGGGGGCGTCCCGGACGAGTGGGTGTCTCAGCTACACGCGATCAACAGCGACATGCATGTCGAGATCGTGGAGCAGCTCGTGGCGAGCCTAATGGGCCTGCAGCGGAAGCTGGACAAGTTGGATCTTCCCGGCTTCGTTCTGGAAGCAGTGGACTATGCGACATGGGATGACGAGGTGGACAGTGATATGGCCGAAGTCATACCCAAGCCTGTCAGCCGTCTGGTGGACAATTATAGCAGTGTCGGCCCCGTCTCATGGGACGACAGGACTCGTCGTCGGTTCATGCGTATGGCATTAGATGCGTACACAAGGCTCGCCAGCGCGAAGGGAGTCACGACGCGTGACGTTGTTACGGTCAAGCGCTTGGGGAACACAGACCTTGTAGACCGCCTGGTGCGCACACCGGAAAAGAAGGCTCGCAGGTTTTCCTACACGCTTTCTTCGTCCATTTCAAGCACGGCCAGCGAGGAGATATGCTTCCACTCCCCTGTTGCATCCCTGTCCAGTGTGACTGATGACATTGAGTATGGGCAGTAGGGTTTATGATGATGTTGTTAATCATACTTATGCTTATTGTACTGTGCGATCGAAATCACATGGCTTCTGTTTTGATGGAGCTTACAGCTCCCACATAAGACTGTTTATGTCCCCGGCGAACGCGTGTTCAGTTCTGCACATCCGCCTTACTGTGCACACGGTTCAATTTTGTTGGTGAACAAGACATATTTGTTGTTAGATTTACTCTTTGTATGCGGTCCAACCCCATTATATGTTCGCGTGACACATCACACTCAACCGTGCCATACCGCGACCTTTCATACCGGCAGCGCGTTTCCCGTGTGCAGTAGGGTTAGACGCCCCACGACTACCTCATTTTCGACTCAAACCCTAGCGTATACGGGACAAGTAGCGGCTATATTAGATCGTAGCGGAATGAGCACCAAGCGTTCTAAGTCGCGAGAAGTGCTCGACCCTCGGCGGCGCAATACGCGGGGTTATTTCATACGGAAGAATCCCACGATAGCCTATGCCATCATGCAGGTGCAGGGTGCCATACTTACTCACCGAGGTGAGACTCTTAACGCAGCCACCATTTTGAGGGCGCTGGACCCATTCCTGGGCAGTGGAAGGCGCAGCCCCTAACAGCACCAAGCTCGTGCGATTCTTGAAGCACGTGCGTCTCTTGCCATAGCAGCCGACGCACCTACTCCGTTCATGTACCTGAGGCTAGTTTACGCCACTTATCCTGATGTGTCGGAGCCAATCCTAACAAGTGCGAAAAGTCGTAGGTTTTTGACGTCAATAGTGGATTACAGATTCGTGAACCACTCCGCAACACGCCTTGAGGATGTCATACTGCCGGGGTTACCAACGTTTGACTACAGAGCCGTTTTAATGGCGGAAGCGCGTGCGATGGGATATGAGGTGAGGATCGTTGGCCTGCTGACGTGCATGTATTTCGGTAGCGTTTGAGTGATTCGGGTATGGATGTATGGCTTGCAGGAGGACAGACGTCGCTCTGATGGGTCAAGGATATCGGCGTGTCCACCAAACGGCATGGACATGGCCTGTGGCACCTCAGTCAGAGTAAGTTCTATATCATGTTGCGAGACTGCCGACATGTTTTGCTGTGCTGAGCCTGCTACCCTCATATGGGTCATTAAAATTTGATGAGACATCCTTTCAGGTGCACGGGCTCACAGAGTGGAAGAAGATGGATGGTGGAGTGCGCATTGGAGATCTTACACGAGCGCTTGGGATGATTCCATGGTGGACCAAGGTCTCTACCAACCCCACAAAGGAGCAACAATTGCAGGGCACGGCCTCCTCGCATATTGGCGGTGGCTATGTACGCCTCGTCAAGTCTAATGTCACGCTATAGATGGGTGCCTTGTACTCGAAGGCTTTTGGGCGAGGCTCGTTCGTATTACGAGTGTTTTGGATGCGAGAAAGCCTTTGTCAATATGCGTACCGAAATTTAACGATTTAGTCATGCTTGACTCGCGCTTATGCACCTTGCTTTGATCATGTACTTGACACTCCAATTTGATATACACGCATCTTCATATTGGACATTACGGGTGTAGGATAAACAGGGTGTAAATGTACAAACAGATTGCGATGTGGCGGCTATATCGCGGACGCTTATGGCCAAAAAATTGGCTCGGGGTACAGACGGTATATACAAAACGTGTCCAATTTCATTGTGTGGCTATTCCGTCAAACCCTAGATTGCGGTCCAGTATGGCTTCACCTACTAGCAACGACATTGCACGATTGGAGCAACACATCCACAAGCTACTTAGTGATACCATAGCTCCCCATGGCGCGCCTATGCAGGCACCACTACTGTGCGGTGGTAACAGGATGGAAGCCGATAACCGTCGGGGTAAAACTGTGATTGTGGCCATAACACCTGAGCCAAAAAACGGAACTCGCCGTCAACCGGTGGTCGACTCGTATGACGACGAAACGGAAGACGGAAACGCCGGGACTATACAGTCAGATACGGCACCTGAGATGGAAGGGAAGCCCACGATGGGAGGCACGGGGGAAGAAAAAGCGGTCCACACAGCACCTTATCATCCTGAAGCGCAGACAGTTGCGCAAACAGCCGCCGGTGCGGAGAGTGGAGATCACCCGGCCGCGACACGCGATGGTTCCAACGGGGTGAATGATTTGTTCGACTTCTTTTTCGGGGGTAACAGGGGCGACGCGAATACGGCGCCAGGTGATAAGGAAGATTTCAATCCTCCAACTAACGCCATGTCGAGCTCGGCAGACGCGCCTCCGGGTACTTGCGTGTCTAGCGCTGCTACTCCGACTGTGCAAGTTCACTCACGCACAGGTGCGAACATTACACCACAGCTGGTTTGACGGTGTGTTGCTTTTATCTGCGAGGATTCAGCACGATATTGACGTTGCAATACGCTACGTTGCGTATCTGTCTCTTAGGATGCCCGGAGGAACGTACCAACGAGTATCGGCGCCGCCGCATGAGGCGCAGGCGTACTCACGTCGAGGACTCAGAGGGTAAGATGCACCATGTCGCATGTCGGGAGGCGGTGCTTCAAATTGCCTCACACGTTGTCTACGTGGCGATGTGGCAGGTGGTTCAAGGCCCACTAATAACGATGGAGCCTTGCTACTCTTGGATGTTCTTGACCGTCTCATGCTGCGACATCGTAGCAGGCGGGTGCGTCGTGGTAGTTATTAGTTATATGTTGACCATGTTGTGGCAATATGTGCTGTGGTGGTCAGGTTCGAATATTGGGACATGGGGTAACCCATGCATTTAAATTAATTGGGTAGTAGCCGAATTAAGTAGCCATATGCAGTATTTGGTGTGATGTCTTGTATTTGGGTTTGACTGAAATTGGATATAGTGTCATGATTAGCCATGTCGTGTCATGCAGACAATTGTTTTGAACAACACCTCCATGCGAACCGGTTCACTGTAGCGAGGATACTCTCCCAATCCTGTTACGACCGAGACTGAACGGAACAAGTGCTTGTTGGTTTCGGGGGTTTCTTAGATTGGTCATTTGAGGTGGTTAGGTTTTCAAATTACGGCTAACATCCTCACCACCCATACCCGCGCATCGTTCATACACGACGGCTTCGGCGCGCCACTATACCATAGGTGCTAGTGGCTTGACGTAGGAGGTGGACCTATGATACGAACAGGCGATAGCGTGACGTGACGTATGAGAACGCCGGGCGTTGCGCTAGAAGTCAAATAGGGGATGACCGGGAATGGAAACGGAGTGGTAGTCAGTCAAGTTCTTATAGGTTGTTGTGCGTGTAGCGGAGAGCGTGACTGACAGATCGGTAGGTACGGTAGGACGTGATGTGAAGTCGGGGAACGGCCGTATGGTAAGGTCGAGGGCGTAGATTAAAACTAATGGCAGGGAACAGGTGTGGGGCATGTGGCCATGAGCTTGAGTCTGACAACTTACTGAGGATCCATCTGTACCGCAATGACACGTGCAGGGACACGCTGCTGGAGCGGTTAGAGAGTCGGGCAGTGGAGGCGTTGGCGGAGGCGTTGGCCGCGGTGAGGGATGGCCCGCAGCATTCCGATAGTGAGTCTGCCCCGGGTAGCCCGCACTCTGCGGACTCGCTGTTCCGCTACCTGAGAGAGTCACCTGAACACGCGGACCGCGTGCGCGGGTATGTGTCGTCGTCAGACGATGGATCCGTTTCCACAGTTGGAGAGCTGTTCAATACACTGAATGAGATGTACTTGTTCTTCAAGGACGCTGATATGTCAGACAGAGAAATAAATCGAATACTGCACATCTTCAACCACCCGAGGTACGATCCTGCCGCGGTTCGTCGCTGGCAGAACGTCGCGGACGTGAAGCGGTATGGGGAGGAACACGCGCCGGACGACATGGTGCCGTGGCTCAAGGCTGAGATTGAGGTGCGGGGGCCTAGAGGAAGGTCGCAGATGCTGGAACTGCTGTACAAGGACACCAAGCTGGTGAGCGTGTGGTATTTTGTGCAATACATTTCCTGCCTCACTAACTGAGTCGCTGATCTCTCCACTAACAAGGGTTCGTTGCCAATGCTGGGGCAGATAGCTCAAAAGATCGTAAAGACATATGTAAATGTGAAGGGGTTTGTCAAAAGGCCGCGGAGAGATCGAGAGGATACGGAGGACACGCGACATTTCAGTACGCCCGACACAGGGACTTGGCTGGAAGATGCGCAGGCGAGTAACCATTTGTGTTCACTGGTGTCTCACGATGCGACGACGAGAGTGGGACTGACATTTCTGGTAAAATTGTTTCGTTGACAGGCGGAACTAGGATTCAATGGTGCTGGGTGTCATCTCGTACAGTGACGGCACTTACGCGTCGGGGAACGGACGCTTACAGGCTTGGCCAATGCTGATGGGTTTGGTCAATGTCCCGGAGGAGTTAAGATGGCGAGAGCCATGTCACGCTCTAGTGGGGGTGCTCCCTTTCCCGCCCGAGTGGGCGTCGGCGACAGAGAAGACTCGAGTGTATCAAGAAGCGTATCGCATCGTAATGGGCCCGTTGATGCGAGAGAGCCGAGAGTAAGTGCTATGAATGCATGGTGTTGGCCGTATGATGCGTTGGGTTTCATGGTCGGCATCTGACGGCCCTCAATCTGTTACAATGTGCATGCAGTGGTCCTTTACGATTCTTCGGTGTGTCTGATGGGCGCGGAGGTGCGGTGAAGGCATATCCATGCCTATATGCATTTGTCGGCGACTATCCTGAAGGGTGCCGGGCCACAGCAACGATGCAACAGGCATCACACAGACCGTGCTCGAGCTGCTACATCAAGAGGAAGCACCTCCATGACCTGGCTAACAAGTTCATTCTGCGCACGGTGAGGAGGGAGCGGCATGCGGCGGCGGAGATACTGAGCGCCCCAACGGTGGACGACGCTGCAGCGGCCCAAGCCAGGTGGTCCACGCATCCAATCACGGTACGCGGGCAGCGTACATGTGTCGCAAATTATACTGGCGTGGCACATGCGAGTTGTGCATCGCGTTGAGCGTTGGGTATGACTGACACTACCATCCGATGTACAGAGCGTGTTGGAATGGTGGAACTTCTCGGAGACGAAGTGGGTTAACGTGTTCTTGGCATGCGTGGGCGACATCTTGCATGTACTCGACTCCGGGGTGCTGGTACATATGGCCACGTGCTTTATGGAGGGGAAGACCAAACCCGAGATTAGAGTGTTTGATCAGTGAGTACCATCAGGTTGCGTGCTTCGTTCCTTCACGGTACTATGTGCGAGGATGAGTTAACGAGCACATGGGCGGTGCGTTGCATTTGTGTGCATGGTGCCTGGAACAGCCGCAAGATTGGAGTGAAGGGAGACACAAGGAGTGTCCTAGTGCGCATCCCGGGTGGCTCGACCTTTTTCCGGAGCGGGGCGAATTATGCAGCTTTCGAGTACCGTGGCATGATGCAGATTTTCCCGATCGTCATTGCTGATCTGTGCGTGGGGCGCTCTGCGGAGGAACGGGCCAAGCGAGATACGGAGGTCCGTGCGTTTCGATACTATGCGGTGTTTTACAAGTCACTGCTCGCCGTGACCAAACACACGAGGGTGACAATCGCTATCGCAAGGCAGCATGCCATCTCGTGAGTACACAT